AATCACAGAATCATAATTATAGACTGTGTATTAAGTATTGCATCTTCTTTTGATCCTACGCTTATGAGTAGAAGAAAATAAACTGTAAAAATTCCACTTCAGTAAGTTTATTTTGTTACAAGAACATAATAAAATATCTGTTGAGATAAAAATCATGATTCTTGGAGATTTAAAACCAAGGTCATAAAATTAAAAAAGAATTATTAGAAAAATTTTACAAAATGGAACAAATGAAGACTTAGTGGAGATTTTTTTTAAATATAAGGTAATAAAAATAACACATTAGCAGAATTTAATGTTCCAGGTATGGAAGAAAAAATAACAAACAGGAAAGACCTTTGAAAGGTAACAAATTATTTAAGGTAGAATAAAAAATGTACTTAAGATTCTTGAAAGTAACGAGAAAAAAATTATCGAAACGCTATCAGAATGGTTAAAGAAAAACAAATGTGCATTCAAATTTGATGCTAGATAAGCATCCGAATGCAATTACAAGATAAAAAATAAATGCATTAAGCAAAAAGATATTAAGAGTGAGATGCAAGTGAAAAACAGTAAGAATTTAAAGAAAGAGAGAAAATTAAGGAATTTAAGACAAAATATAAATTAACCAAAGAAGATTAGTTTACATGAATATCAAAATTAAAGACAAACCAAAGTATAAATACAGAACAATTCTACAAGTAATACTAACTTTAATTCATCACCATTAATAATTCATTTCTTTCTTATTTATAATGTATTCTATGGTAAACTCATTGTTGGTGTATTATTTTATGTGGAACTCATTCACAATGTATTTTCCAAGATATATATATATATATATATTATATATATATATATATAAATAAAAAGAAAGAACAGTAAGATATATAATAAAAAGAAAGAACAGTAAGATATATAATTTGCTTGAGGATGAAATGGAACTAATGTTTTTAATTTAATTACAAAATTAAATTTGGACCTTCCATTTTTGAAACATGGTTAGAACTGTGTAGCGGAAAAACCATATTTTAAATCAGTTAATTTATAATATATATATATATATATATATATATATATATATATATATATGTGTGTATATCATAATTCTAGTTTGTCAATGTGACATTCAGTTGATAATGTGTATGCATTTGTGTCTCTGTAAGCGTTTGAGTATTTAGTAGACAATTTCCTCTATGTTTGGTGGTTGTCCATATGTTCTGATGAAGCTTAAACAAAAGCAAAACATGTTTAATTTATAAATGTTTCCTATTTGTTGCTTATTCCATCCTATATATATATATATATGAAAAATATATAGAAAATAGGAAAGAACTTGTTAGGTAAATCATCCAAAGTTCTTTGGTATTTTTGTTATTATTTTTAAAAAATAGTACTCGATACAAAAGTAGAGCATAATATAATTATATATATATATATATATATATACACACACTATGTGTAAATATATTTAAATAAGCATGCATCATGTAGATCATTTGAATATTTTACTTATAACGATAATATGGATTTCAAATGTGCTATGTGCTTGACCAATCAGAGTGCTTAATGCAATTAGCATTGGTAATATAATAATATCATAATATTGAATTCACTGTCTGCTTTCTTTCCAAGCAATTTTGAAAGAAATAAAAATTTAGTGGTTTTTGAACCAAACTAAATAACAGTAAACCTTTTTTTTTTGATCTATTCAGCATTTTTATGTTTAGAACAATATATAATATTTTTTAAAGTATCAGTTTAAATTTTTGTCCAATAATTATCTTTCAAATACAACTGTAGCCTTTTTTTTTGCACCCATCAAATTATCCTAAATAAAGTTGCATCTTATATTCTAAAAAATAAGGTCAACTCCCTTTGACTATTTCTTTCCATCAGAGTTTTGATTCTATAGTTGGGCACCCAGTGAGGAAAAAAATGTCTTGGGTACCTATGTAAGAACAATTTGCACTCTGAAAGAACAAACAGATCCTACACTTTACTCAATGAAAACACAGGATTTTTTTTCAACCAAGAGGTTTTTAGCTATTAGGTATCTCATATATTGATCATCAAAGACATTAACATGCTTAACCAACAGCAAAATTTGAAAGAAAAACCTGACTGGATACATAACAAGTGAGTTTTATAATAATGACAACAGGCATATCCATTTACCATAACTGTCTGCAAACACAAAGTTAAAGTTTGATGAAAAATCAAGGTTCTTTATTCTTTACAAGTTTGTAGTGTAAATTTGAGAGAGAAGAGTCTTTGGTCTATCGAGTGGTAGTAGGAATGACTAACTGTTTGATAAAGTTCACCTGATTTGTACTCCCTGACATCTATACTAAAGTCAGGTAGCAACTGCTGTGGAGAGCAAAAGAGAATTTTCTGTCTGATCGCTGGCTATTCTTATAGTTATTTTGAAATTTAAAAGAGGATCCAGGAATTATAGAGCATAGAGTATTTTCATTGGTCAATAAATTAGATAACAGGGGACATGTCTAAAAAGAGGATCAAGCACTAAATTTAAATAGTGTTCTAATGATTTGTCTATAGATACATAAAAGACAGAAACAGTAAACAGATTTACAAATGAAAATAATCTCACTACTTGTGTTTTAAGATGAATAGTCTGTGTCTTGTGTAGTGCCAACCTTTAATGAAATCCAAGAAATTTTTGGTGCGGAAGAAGATAGAATTTAAATTTCAAAATCAGTCGACAGCATCACGGCAAACAAAAAGAGTGGAAAGCTATGTAGTTGGAAATTCAGAAGAAAAAAATGTTGAAAAAAGTTGAAGAAAAAAATATTGATCTGAACAGAATGGGAAAATTTGATTGATGTATTCAGTTTGGTTGTTAAGTTTTCTCCCAGTAAAAAATCATTTTATGTTGGCATTATTTATTTTATATATCAAAAACAGCCGAGACAATAATATTAACAGATGGGTGAGTGGATGAGTGATTAGAACGTTAGTATTCCAACCATGAGAACCAGGTTCAAAACTCACCAAGGCCAATTACTGAAGGAGGTAACTTTTTGATAAGATTGTGACTGTGCATTTAGAACATTATTGTTTTGACTGCAACAACCAGGTTGAAATGTCACTATGGTTGATTTGTGAAGGAGATAACTTCTTGATAATATTGTGGCTGAGTGGTTAGAATGTTAATGTGCCAACTTTTATTGAATTCTTCGAGTCAATGTCATTCTTTGTTGCTATAGCTGGGCATGACAATATAGCTATGAAATTCAGAAATATTAACATTTAGTGATTCAAGTCACCTGCAGTGGTAGGCTGACTTTGCTCAGTGAATGAAGTCATCGACAGAGTATTAAAGAGTAATGGTCACTCTCAAAGAATTCAATTTTATTGAAATTATTGTAAATACTTTTGAGATTTTAGCAGAATAACCTGTTTTTATTTCTTCTTGGCTTGATTGTGAAATTTTCAGCATATCTTCATATTCTAACTTCTGTAAGAAAAATACAATTATATAAAATCCATAAATTTATCTAGATTCCCTCTCAGATATATTGCATGAGTTTGGAACTGAATTTGCTTCATCTTTGAGCTATGCTGGAAATGTTAATATGCTTGCTTCAGAGCAATAGTCAGCAAGCTAGAACATTGGACCATTGATATTTTAGTGAGTTTAATATCAGTGGATGTTCTTCTATTGTGACCTTGTGCCAGATTAAGTAATATATATATATTAGTTGGATTGATGTGAGTTTGTTTTTCACGCTCTTTGCAATCATCTAACGATCATAAAGGGCGTGAAAACCAGGGTCACAAACTCACATCAATCCAACTAAATATGTTAGCTCTATAACTGATATTGAGTGCTTTCCAATAAATACGGCACATATGTAATATATAAATAATATATATAAAATTTATATATATATATATATATATATATATACATATATACACATAAATACATACATCTATATTATACATATATATATATATATATATATATATATATATATATATATATATATATATATATATATATGCTTATTGCCTGTGAAGTGTTTTAAAAGATTATGGAAAATGTTACAGGGTAATCAGAAGGTTCATTGGAATAGTGAAAAAAGCTAAGCAAATTAAGAAACATGTAAATTTCATTAGACACAAAAAGAGTGCTAAACTGCTATGTTGTATCAATTCTTTAGTGTGGCATTGAATGCTGGACAACTTCCTGGCAGATGAAGAAGAGACTTTAGACAACAGAGATGTGGTTCTACACAATGGAACAAGTGAGAAACAAGAATGTTTTAAAGAAAATAAGAACAGAAATTTTTGGGAAACATAATGAGGAAAGGGGGTTTGGAGAATCTGACACTCACAGGATATACTAAAGACAAGAGAGACAACAGGAAACAGTGAGTAACCTATCTGACAAACTTGGATAAATGCATGGCAGAACACCAAGTGGGAAGGATAGTGAAAAGATAAGCATTGCTAAGAGTGGCAAGGGATAGAAAGTTGTAGAAAGCAATGAAAACGCACATCCTGAAGGGAAAATGGCACATAACAAAAAAATATCAGCAGGATTTTAGTAAATGTATGACAAATGATTTTTATTTGGGTAATTATCTTTTGGAAGTGAAAAATCAATGTTTTGCTTAGAGTCAAATATTTACCAATAAATATTGATCGTTAAATGGTGGAAATATTTCTACTCAGCATTTATTGCAGAGATGCAAATGTAGTCTGAGATGCCAAAATGAGTGCTCAATATTAAACAAAGTTGAAGCAAATGCTTGTCAGTGGATTTTTTTGATTGATTGATTTTCTTTTCTACAGTTTATTAACCATTTGCAGGTTATTTAAAGTCAGAAAATATTTTTAGACTGTAAGAATTTTTTTGAGATAATAATGGTTTAGTGATACAAGTCGTCTTAATTAACCCATTGCTGGGAGAGCAAAGGTGGAGTCATACATTTCCCAAGGGTATTTGCATGTAAGTGAATGTAACAAATCCAACAGAAATTGAAACGTGGCAGCATGTGGTATTCCCAAACGGTTATCCACTTAGGTACTGACCAGGCTCGACATTGCTTAACTTCAGTGATTGTATGGGAAATGATGTTTCAATGTGATGGGGTCATAAGCCTGAAGATTATGTAGAAGATAATGTAATCTCAAGCTTTTCAAGCCAAGAATCTTAGTTTGAAAAGCTCAAGATTGAAGTGTTCAAGGCAGTGCTCATGTGGAAGTGGGTTCCAAAAAGAAGCAGTTCTTGGAGAAATTCTGTCTCAGTAGAACTTTCTTTTCACATTTGGAGCATTGAAGAAATAAGGGTGAATTGACTCTGTGGGAGTAGCATTGGGTGCCCTAGCTGTAAATGTCTGAACTGGTGGAATGGAGCGCTCATCTGAATACTTGCCATGGACTTGATGTGTTTGTTTAACAGCATATCAACTCCTTATAGGTCATTTAATGGCAAAATTTAATTTTCTTGAGAGCTTTGGATTAATAAAAATATGTTATATGTTATTCTGCTTTCACAGTTGAACATATGGTAGATGATTCTCAGCTTTTGTGCCTAGACATCTTTGTGTGAACATAATTCCTAGAGGCTGTGATATGTATGTTTTATGTTGTAGTTTTGTTATCTTTTGGAATACAGTTTGATTTCTTTAAGAAATTATAGGATATTATATGGATTAATGTCATGAAAGAGATCTTTTATGTTAATTGATGTAGTGTTAGTAATTTTACTATAAATAGGTATTGCTGGTATTTTTTCTATAAAAATGCATTTTTAAACTTCATAGAATTTTGTTTGTGTTTCTGGGGGTTCACTATTTGCCCATAGCCAGGACCCTAACAGGTGCTACGACCCTGTGTCAGGGTGGTACTGGAAATCACAGCAATTAAGAGGTGGTTCCATACTCCTCAAAGCCTCCAATATTCCAATCAAAGGACTTACTTGCCATGGAAATAATAAGAGATTAGCAATAAGCTTGTGACATTGTATCTGTAGGAAAGAGGCTGCAGGGTTAACAATGTCTTCCCAGACAAGAGTGCCTTAATGATTTCTAAGCAGAAAGGAAATCCATGCTAAAAAGACTGGCATCTTTCTACATCTATTTTCAGACTTCCAACTGGTCTTTATTAATAAGAATTTTTTTTTTTTTACTAAAATTCATTATATAGAAGGTCCAAAAGCTACTCTATGTAGAGGGATACTGAATGATGTGCATCATATGAATGTAAGAAGAGGAAGTATGGATTTTGAGCATATGGCAGTTAGATAACAATTGATCCTAGACTTGAAGAGGTTAATGTATTAATGTTCAAAGAAGCATCCATGTATGATTCTGTTTCATAAGGTAACAGTTCTTAGGAAGAAGCCATATGAGTGGAACATCCTTCTTGCTTATGGAATACATGGGGAATGAGGGTGATTCAATTCTGTGGATGTAAAGGTTTGAGCTGGAGGCACTAAGGAATAAAAGTTGCCTGAACATTTGCCATAGAAGTAGCAATCAAATAGTGATATACTTGTGATGTCGTGTCTGTGGAAAAGAGGCTATAGTGTAGAGAATGTCTCCCCACCCTTCACAAGACTGAGTAGACCATTTTTAACCCCTTCAAAACTGGAAAGTGAAGGTTGAGCAGCTCTAGTCTAGATATGGCAGCAAGACTCCATCTTTTGTCTAACTCATCTCTTGTAAAGATAAAGCAAGACAAGAGGACTCAGGTACTTCCTAAAGCAATAGAAGGAGCTGATCATTTTCACAGCAATAGATTGTATGGATCAAGCTTCACTTGAGATCAGGAGGGAACTTGAAACCCAAATTTACAACCATTTAACATGACTGGAGTAAACTCTCTGTTTAAACAGTGATAAGGAAAAAATACCTGTTTATTTTTGACATATTGAAAGTAACAAGCCAGTTATTTCTCTATTGAGCTATTTAAAGATCAAGCTAGTGCCGTCAATCATTTTAATTATAGTGAGTGTAAATATCACTAGGTGCTATTTTGCCAGATAAAGCTTTGGAAAATTAAACATTTACAAAGTATTTTCTATACAAACAGAATTTTAACTTATTTATAGACAAGACAGTGTTGTTTCCAAAACTGTAAAATTATGACATGTTTTTAATATTGTTTAGAAAATGGTAACAGAATGTGCCAAGACTATGTATTGTGATTGTGCCATTTAATGCATATAAAACTAATACTCATTTATATCCAGCTTAATGAGTTAGTTAACTGAAATATTTTTGGTAGACTTTGTGTTCAATTATTATGTAAAGTTTGTATGTGTTGGAATGGCTCTGCAATCTTTACAATGGGTTACAAATATGCCTGCATCAAAATTTTAATCATTACACCACAAGCATTAAGATGCCAGGGGTTGCTGAGTGAAAAAAAAGGAGTATGAGAAAATGAAAAACATTGTTAAAGAGGGGGAAACAATAAAAGAACAGGAATTAAGAAAATAGAAGATAGCAATTGACATTGCATTTAAATTTTAGAATATCAAAGTTGACTAGAAAGCAAGAAGCCAGAACAGAGTTCCACAAGTGAGAAGTGCAAGAGAAGAAACAGTTACATCTAGCCATTTCAACTTTAAAATGATGAGACCTTGCCTTCAATCTATAACTGTGCTTAAATTCTAAGTTTAGGTATCAAAGAAGAAAGATTATCAGAATGATTACTATGAATGTAATTATAGAAAATGCACATGAAAGCTATGCTATGGTGTTGGGAAAATGACTGAAGACTAGATGTCAGGTCAAGACCAATAACATTGCAGATTCTTCTTTATAGTTTATCAAGAACCTCTAAATATATAATAGAAGCACCAAACCAGATGTGGTAGCAATATTCAATGCATGAAAAAATTTTGTAGTAAGCTTGAGAAATGACAATGTGCCTGCATCAAATTTTGCAAGAAGCTTGGCAAATTCATTACTGAGATCTCAAAAATGCTTTGTTGGGATTTTGGGAATGAATTTTTTTGAGTGGCTTGCTTGATTCAATGATGATGAAGTGTCCGTTCAAGATTATGAGTATTCAGGGTGACCAGTTGCTAGAATAAATACCAGAAAATATGTATATAAATTAGTGAACTCATCCATGAAAACTGTCATTGAAAAATCCATCAGTTCTTTTACATGACGGGAGTCTACCAGCTGTCCATCAGGGAAACATGAAAATGTATCATGTTGCTGTCAAGTTTGTACTCTAGCTGGGATTACATGTTTGGTTTTATTAGCATCAGTTAACTGCAGCTGAGTTTGCTTATATGTAGCAAATTCTTATGTCTGGGTCATATTTCGGTCTTAGAGCATAATCTTAATGAGAGTAATTTCAGTTGCTAGTTTTGGGGGTTAAAAAAAAATCTGTGTGACCCATCATGCTTTAAATATGCTTCATTTTGGGACCAATCTGAGGCTTTTCATGCTTTGGACTTTAAACAAAAAATACAGAGTACTGTGCATGTTCCTAAGTGAGTTTTTTCAAAGGGGATAGTGGCCAAATTTAAATAATATTTTAAATATATATCAAGAAAGAGAATTATTCTGCAAATACTCTAAATGTAAATACTGGATTTTTTCTGCATTTTTAATATATTGGTCACTTTACTAAAAAAACAAAAAAACAAACATTAGAATTTTTAAATGTTGATATATATATATATATATATATATATATATATATATATATATATATATATATATATGTTACGAAATGGACAAGGTCCGACAATTTATTTATTAAAGACATTTTTATGTTTAACGTTGTTATTTATATATACAAGTATTTAAGCAAATGCTCTGTTTATGATAAACAGTATTAAATAACATTTACCGGCCTGAATGTCCGAGAAATTTTCATAGAAAATATTCGTTCTTTGACAGGATTCGAACATGCATCCTATACGGAACCGTCATCTACGCTGACGTGCCTAACCTCTCGGCCACAAAGAACCGTTCGGTAGACAAGGTCGAATTTACTGCTTATAAACTCCAATCTTCCATGAATCTTGTACATTCATAACTGCTCTGGCGTATCAAATATATATATATATATTTATTAAACACACTGTATGTGTGTGTGTATATATATATATATATATATATATATATATATATATATATATATATATGTAAATTATACATGTTTAGTGAGTCCATTCCTTAATGGGTGACCCATACTCTTGGCCTTGTGTCACATGTCTAATAAATCACTATATATATATATATATATATATATATATATATATATATATATATTATTTGTATTGTTTGTGTTTTACGGCCTCATTCACAAACTTTCTGATACTACCCAATACAAATCCTGTTCTCTACCACAAGTAGAAATTTATTGCATATATTCAGCCTGTTATTTCATCTCCTCCATCAAGGATATCTATTTGCATATGTCAATTTTATTATATAGGCATTTATCAAAGTTGGATGACACATAATCGATACCCTCGTAGTAACACTGAGGTCGTTCTTTGATATGTCTCCCATGTACCATCCTTCTCTGGTGCACTTCACATACACAGACATTATTAAAACAATTATTTATCGGACATTATTTATTATTACTATAAACATTACTATTAATGGGTGCAAATATTTAAGTTGCTAACCATGATTTCTTTTATTTTCTTAAACAGTGGAATTAATAACAAAGCAATCATCAGATGCTGCAATGAGCACCTGAAAATTGTGTTGTGGATGAAACTCACAGTTGTGCTACCAATGAGGAACAAAATGTATATTTATTATTAATATAAATTATAGCTCTGATATACATCAAGCATTATTTTATTAGCACCAGCACCTAACGTCCTATATTTTTTTTATATATATATATATATATATATATATATATATATATATATATGTATATCAGAGCTATAATTTATATTAATAATAAATATACATTTTGTTCCTCACTGGTATATATATATGTATGTATGTATATAATATATTATATATATTATTATTTATATATTATATGCACGTTGCTTATTAGAAAGCACTCAATATCAGAGATAGAACTAACATATTTGGTTGGATTGATGTGAGTTTGTGACCTTGAGTTTCATGCTTTTGCGATCAT